TAGTCTATTGTTTGCCCTGATTGTCAGCAATTGCTGCCTGCTGTGTTAGCTTGGCTGAGTTCCAAGTTAGGTGAGATAAGGGCAAACCTTTTGTGTTGCTCTTCCAGGGAGCCACCGACAGTCAGAACAAATAATTGCAATTCTTTGTGTTCCCTTTCTGCTCCTTCTGAGACAGGTTCTAATACTGGGGATAAGGCTGTTACTTTCAAGGCTACTGCTGAGCTGGGGAGAGAAGAAGGAGACCAGAGTCAGTTAAAATGCCACAGAGCCCCCTGCTCTTACCAGGATGTGACTGTTTTACTAGCTTAAACACTCTCCTTATTACTGCAAACTTTTGACTAGTTTCTGGAATTCTGAAAAAGTTGGCTGGGTGTGGTGGCCCAGGTCTGTAATCCCAGCACTTTCGAAAGCCAAGGTGGAAGGATCACTTGCGGCCAGTAGTTTGAGACTAGCTTGGGCAGCATAGTGACAGCCTGACTGTACAAAGAAAAAAAAAAAAGAATTCTGAAAAAGTTCATTTTTACAGTATTTTTCCTTGATTTTAGGGAGGCACAGACTTTGGGAGTGTCTTATTCCATCATTTTCACTGATGCAGCCATTGCACCCATCTTGTATTAAAAGAGAGCCTTCAATTTTTTTTTTCTTGCTCTGTCACCCAGGCTGGAGTGCAGTGGTGCAATCTTGGATCACTGCAACTTCTGTCTCTCGGGTTCAAGAGATTCTTCTGCCTCAGTCTCCAAGTAGCTGGGACTACAGGTGCGTGCCACTACGCCCAGGTAATTTTTGTATTTTCAGTAGAGACTGGCTTTCACCATATTGGCCAGGCTGATTTCGAACTCCTGACCTGGTGATCCACCCATCTTGACCTCCCAAAGTACTGGGATTATAGGAGTGAGCCACTGCGCCCAGCCTAAAAGAGGGCCTCTAAATTTTACATGCCTCAAGCACCACAAAACCTGGATCCACCCCTGGGTGGGGTTGTAAGAGGAGGACTCAGTCAGCTTTGGATATGACCTCATTGTGTGGTTGCAACTTTGATTATCTCTGGGCATATGGGCAACTGAAGTTTCCAGGCTGGGGAGACAAAGTATTTCACAAAGTTGGGGAAAGGCAATGTCCTTTACATCTGCACGGATCCCAGCACCTCCCAGCATGTTGAGGACTGGAAGCTTTCATACGTGATCTCCAGGCCCCTGCAAAGTCTGGGCCGCATCAGACTTTGCAGGCAGCATCCTGGGATACACTGGCATTTTCACAGGAGTGAGCAGCCCCACTGCAGTGTCATGGGTCCAGGGCAGCGGTTGGCAAACCTGGCCTGCTGCCTGCCACCTGCCGCCTGCCGCCTGCCTTTCTTTTATGGCCTGTGAGCTAAGAATGGTTTTTACATTTCAAAAAGATTGAGAGAAAGAAGCAAAAGAAATATGTTATGACATATGAAAATTATATGAAACTAAAATTAAAATTGCATTGTTCATAAATCAAGTTTTATTGGAAACTTGCCACACTCATTTGTTGACATATTGTCGATGGCTGCTTTGTCACAGAGTTGAGTAACGGTGACAGGGACTGTGTGTACTGCAAAGCCTAAAATATTGACTAGCTGGTATTTTCAGATGCTACTGACCCTTGGCATTGGGTACAGACAGGGAGAATTGGGGCAGCAGAAAGAACAGAGTAGGTGGCATAGATAGACTGAGGCTGGCAGGCTGGCTTTGAGTACAGCTAAGACATTTTTTGAGAAGTCCCTGAAATACTTCAGAAGACTTTGCAGAGGCCTGGAGATCACGTATGATCAAGGTGGGTAAAAGCAGGAAGTGTGAGCTGTGTTTTTGTTTTGTTTTGTTTTTGAGACGAAGTCTCGTTCTTCTTGGCCAGGCTGAAGTGCCATGGTGCAATCTCGGCTCACCGCAACCTCCACCTCCTGGGTTCAAGCAATTCTCCTGCCTCAACCTCCCGAGTAGGTGAAATTACAGGCACCTGCCACCACATCTGGCTAATTTTTGTATTTTTAGTAGAGATTGGGTTTCCCCATATCAGCCAGGTTGGTCTCGAACTCCTGACCTCAGGCGATCCACCCACCTTGGCATCCCAAAGTGCTGGGATTACAGGTGTGAGCCACTGTGCCCATCCAGGAAGCGTGAGTTTTTGATGTCAACATAAGTTAGTTAATTCATCTCCATAGGAGAATGGGACAAAAGGGTTTTCATCTTATTCTCAGGAACACTTTTGTGGGAGAATCATCAGCCCCATTTTACAACTGTCCTGGTTTATAGGTGGCTCATACAGGATGTAAACAATGTGCAATTTATGCTATTGCCACTTCCTCGGAGGCCGAAGCAGCCCCTTTGCTTTAGCTACTTCAGCCCAGCAGACAGAGCAATTTGCCCTCATTCGAGCCTGCTTCCTTGACAAGAGAAAAACCACTAACATTTGTACAGATAGTAGATATGCATTCGAACTTGCTCATGATTTTGAAAGACTATAGAAGCAGAGATGTTTTCTGACTTTTTTTTTTTACTTTCTCATTTTCTTTAAACATTTTTTAAAAATTTAATTTAAAACTTTTTTTTTTTTTTTAACTTTAAAGATCAGGGTTTTTTGGAGAAAACAAAAAACCCACAACCCAAAGGATGGTGTTTTACATCTCAAGCCATCTCCTAGATATCAAGTCTACAGATGACAAATCCTTTTCATAGAAGATATTTTTGCACAAAGTTTACATGTGCTCAGGAGTGGGACATAAATCAATCCCTGTTTCTATTTTTGTTTTGTTTAGTTTTTTTTTTTGAAACGGGGTCTCGCTTTGTCACCCAGCCTGGAGTAGTACAATGGTGGGATCTTGGCTCACTACAACCTCCGCCTTATGGGTTCAAGCGATTCTCATGCCTCAGCCACCCGAGTAGCTGGGACTACAGGTGTGCACCACGACGCCCAGCTAATTTTTATACTTTCAGTAGAGATGTTGACCAAGCTGGTCTCAAACTTATGGCCTCATGTAATCCACTTGTCTCAGCCTCCCAGTGTGCTGGGATTATAGGGCCACCATGCCTGGCCCCCTGTTTCTATTTTAACAGAGGGCAATGTAGGGGAGTGAGAATAATTTTACAATTTTTGTATCAGAAAACCCTCCTGAGCCAGAATAGGCTCAGGGACTCCTTTTATCTAAGACAAAATAAATTATCAGAGACAAAATAAAGACATAGTAAAATAGCTCCCTGCTGCTCTGGCTGTTGTTAAGCTTCCAGGGCATTTGAAACTAGACTTCATGGAGGTCAGAGGGATACCACTTTGCTGATAACGCTGTACGGGATGTGGCCCTGAGAGCTCCTGCTGACCGAATCTCACGGCCAGATGGAAAAGTTTCCAAAAGATGATCTTAGAACAATTACTAAAGATGCACAGAATTGGGCACCAGAGGTCAAAAAACAAAATCAGAAAAATAATGGCTACTGGTTTGATGATCAGGAAGAATTCTGGTCCAGGCGTGGTGGCTCATGCCTGTAATCCCAGCACTTTGGGAGGTTTAGGTGGGAGGATTGCTTGCGCTCAGGAGTTTGAGACCAGCCTGGGCAGCATAGAGAGATCCCCATCTCTCTTTCTCTCTCTTTTAAATACATTAAAATACTTGAATTGACAAAAAAAAAAGAAGAAAACTCTGGTTTGGGCCAAATTAAGAGCTTGTTTTGCCAGACACCATGAAATTTCCATTGTTCACTACTGTGCATGACTTTGCCATTGAGCTACAGAAAAAATGATCATCTTTATGAAACAGTACTGGCGAGGATGCTAAAAGGTGCTTCTGTGGCCTGCCCCACCTGTCTTCTTCAGGGTAGAGTTTGTGCAACTTTAATTATAGATTGACTGCATGGCAATCTTTGTTTCCTGAGAGCTTGGCTGATAAAACTGTTGCAAAGACTTCCCAGGTTCCTGATGTGCAGCTGCTTCTGATGTACAAAGCACCCGTCCTACTGTTATTCCTCACATATTGCTGTGGAATTGGGCAACAGGGATTCCTTTTTTGTCTTTTTTTTATAAAAAAAAACAGGGTCTCACCCTGTTGCCTAAGCTGGAGGGCAGTAGTGTGGCTCATTGCAGCCTCGACCTCCTGGGCTCAAGCTAGCCTCAATTCTCCCACCTTAGCCTGCTGAGTAACTGGGACTACAGGCATGCACCACCACACTGGTATACCTTTTTAGTTTTATTTTTTGGCTGGAGACCAGTACCATTCTGTAAGTATGAGCCATCTATCAACCAGGACAGTTGTGGAAAGGGCTGATGATTCTCCCACAAAAGTGTTCATGAGAATAACATGAAAATCCTAATGTCCCATTCTCCTATGAAGAGGTTATGTTGATATAAAAAATTCATACTTCCTGCTCTTACCACCTTAATCATATGTGATCTCCAGGCCCCTGCAAAATTGTCTGAAATATTTCTTTTCAGGAAATGTCTTACTTGTGCTCAAAGTCAGCCTGCCAGCCTCAGTGTGTGTATGCCATCTACTCTGTTCTTTCTCCTGCTCCAATTCTTCCTGTCTGTGCCCAATGCCAAGGGTCAGTAGCTTTTTCTGAGAAATGCCAGCTAGTCAATATTTTATGCTTCGCAGTCACACAGTTCCTGTCACAGTACTCAACTCTGAGAACATGGCCATCAAGAGCATGTCTAGCTATGTTGCCCAGGCTGGTGTTGAACTCCTGGCTTCAAGTGATTCTCCTGCCTTGGCCTCCCAAACTGCTGGGATTACGGATGTGAGTCCCCATGCCCAGTGCAACAGGGATTTCTATTAAAACCTCTCTTTCGGCTGGGCGCAGTGGCTCATGCCTATAATCCCAGCACTTTGGGAGGCTGAGGTGGATGGATCACAAGGTCAGGAGTTAAGACCAGCCTGGCCAACATGGCAAAACCTTGCCTCTACTAAAAATACAAAAGTTAGCCAGGCATGGTGGCGTGTGCCTGTAATCCCAGCTACTCAGGAAGGTGAGGCAGGAGAATCACTTGAACCCAAGAGGCGGAGGATACAGTGAGCTGAGATCGCGTCACTGCACTCCAGCCTGGGCGACAGAGTGAGATTCCATCTCAGAAAGAACAAAAACCCTCTCTTTCCTTGACCTTTTCTGGGCTGTGTTGGCAAACAGCTCTAGCAAACTCCCTAACCAGCTCAGGGTCTGAGCTGGACACGTGCGGGCTAGATCAGTGAAGCCTCAGTTTTGTTTTTTTTTGATATGCTATGCCCTGGCTTTTTGGCTGCTAGCTCAGACTCCCTTCAGTGCTGTCATCATTAACTCCTGTAAGAACTCCGCAGGATGGATGGGCATCAAAGCCCCTGCTTCTGCTCAACCAGGGGCAGTGTCTGCTGAAGTCTTGAGATGGAGAGAGGTAAGGAGGCAGTGAGGGGGTGGCAGGGCAAGGGCCTGTTGGTGGGGTGCCTGGAGAACTTTCTAGTAATACACCCACAGTCTCTGTTTTCTGCTCTGAGAGGCAGGCATTACGAGCCCATTTTGTACATGAGACAACTGAGGTTTCAAAGGGAAAGTAATTTTGAGGTCACACTGCCTGTAAGAGACCATACTTGATGCCTCAGCTCTATGTCTATCCTCCTGGATCGTCCTCTCCAGAGCACTGCAGCAGGTAGTTAATTCCCAGCTGTTACAGTCTGGGAGCTACCACGGGACATAGAATACTTTGGGACAGGGGAAGAGCCAACCCTGCCTGGCTCATCCCCCTGTGGGACCTGGGGCGACTGGTCACTGCCCTGGTAGGGACGGTCTTCAGGACAGCTTGGGACTCAAGAGGAACATTTGGATCTTCGGTTACTGTAGATATTAACTCTTTACCATTTTAAATACATTTGTCTGGGGTATTATGTTTTAATTTTTTCCCTGTGGAAGTTTTAAATTCTCACAGAGTGAGAACTTTGAGTCTTTTCCTCTCTGTCCTCTGGGCTGGTCTAAGGGCCATTACAGCTCTCACAGTTTGGCAAAGGCTCCTTGGAGTGGGGTTTGGGAGATGTTCAGAGAAGACGGGCAGCTTGGACATGGAGGAGTTCTGGGACCTAGTTTTTATTTTTGCATGTAATTCTTTGAGCGTCAAATTCTTTGCCTATCAAATGGGATTCTAAGAGCTGCCCTGCCTACCTCACAAGGCTTTGGGATATCAACGAGACACTTACCTCTGGAAGATGGCCAGGCCTCTGAGTACCTTACACAGGTATACAGTGCACCTCTCAGGTGAATGGTTCACCTGTGGTCAGGCTAGTTCTGGGGGTAACTGGGAACTACAAGCACAGACACTGGCTCCTTCCATTCACAGCACCCTCTCTCTCTGAAGGCTCAGAGCTGGACTCAGGAAAGAATAGGGGGTCCAAATTTGACCAGACAAGCCCCCATGCTTAGCGCAGAGACCGGTAAACCTTTGCTATAAAGAATCCGGAGAATTAATATTTCAGGCTTTGTGAGTGTTCTGTGAAAGGGCCATCTATGCAAAGTGGCCCTGACCACCAAAAGAGCTGAGAAACCAAAGAATGAGGCCGACACATCCAGTTTGTCAATAGAAGGCAGAGGAACCTGCAGACAGAAGCATGATCTTGGGTGTCTGCACAACAGGTAGATCTCTGTACTGCACCCCGCCCCCAGACCCAGGGCTTTTATGTTGGGGAAAAAGTATTTGTGCTTTGGAAGGAACACGTATGTTGCCATGGGTGTTCACAGCCTGTGCTGTATGGACCAACAGCAAAGGTTGTTTTGCAGGAAAGGTGAAACTTACAGTGAATAGGTGTTTTCACACAAAGAATCATACATCAACTAGATACTTTGGGGGCATTCCCAGAGTTGGGGCTAATCAGAAGTCACCTGGAGGATTAGCATTTATTTTTATTTTATTATTTTGTTTTGTTTTGTTTTTTGAGACACAGTCTCACTCTGTCACCCAGGCTGGAGTGCAGTGGTGTGATCTCGGCTCACTGCAGCCTCGGCCTCCCGGGTTCAAGCGATCCTCCCACCTCAGTCTCTGGAGTAGCTGGGACTATAGGCACCCACCACCATGACCGGATAATTTTTGTATTTTTAGTAGAGGCAGGGTTTTACCACATTGGCCAGGTTGGTCTCAAACTCTTGACCTCAAATGATCCAGCCATCTGGGCCTCCCAAACTGCTGGGATTACAGGGTGTGAGCCATCGTGCCCAGCTGGGGATTAGCATTTAAAGTCAAGTCACTCTTGTCCCCACGGTGAGCCAAATAGTCTCAGTCCCAACTCTCGACTAGGTTGTAGCAGGGAAATGGCCAAGGTAAATACAAGAGTGGGGCTGTGTTCCAATACAATTTTATTTACAAAATTAGGCGATGGGATGGAGTTGGTCTAGCGCCACAGTCTGTTGATCCCTGCTATGTATAGAACATTTTTGACAAATGTGAGTTTCCAAGCAAACGCAAAGCCATTCCTCCGAATGCTGGGATTCTGGCTCCACCTTTGCCCTCTAAAGCACATGTTAGGTGTGTCTTTGTTTCATACTTTTTTCAAGAAACTGCAAAACCTTTGCCAAACCAGGGCCAGCCTTATGCCCAGACTTCCTGGGATTTGAGTGAAGAATGAAGGTACCTGAGCAAGAAATTAGAAAATGTGACTGTTCTTGTTGTCTTGGCTAAAAACCTGTCTGTGGCACAGCACAGGGCTCTGTAATGATCACAGCTCTTTAGCTGCTGGGAGAGCTCCTCAAGATGAGGTCAAGTTCAGAAGCAAACCAAGCCCCGCCCTCTGACTGTGGGGCTGGGCCATGCGTGGTGGGTGATCACCTTGCTGAAGCCATCCCTGTGGGAGGGAACTCTCCACTCTACTGGCCCACTTTGGCTACAGGCAGCCTCATCTGGGCACCTCATTTGGGGACAGCTGTAATTCCAGCATTGGAGTGATGAGGAGTTAGCAGCTATGCCTATGTGGTGGTCGGGGCAATTTCCCTTGCCCTCAGAATCCCTGAATTTAGACAGAGTCTCACTTTCACCCAGGCTGGAGTGCAGTGGCACAGTCTGAGCTCACTGCAACCTCTGCCTCCTGGGTTCAAGCAATTCACCTGTCTCAGTCTCCCGAGTAGCTGGGACTGCAGGCACACGCCATCACACCAAGCTAATTTTTGTAAGAATCCCCAATTTTAGGCAGGGCCCGGTGGCTCACGCCTGTAATCCCAGCACTTTGGGAGACTGAGGCAGGTAGATCACAAGGTCAAGAGATCAAGACCATCCTGACTAACATGGTGAAACCCTGTCTCTACTAAAAATACAAAAATTAGCTGGGCATGGTGGTGCACGTCTGTAGTCCCAGCTACTTGGGAGGCTGAGGCAGGAGAATCACTTGGACCTGGGAGACGGAGGTTGCAGCCAGCCAAGATCGTGCCACTGCACTCCAGCCTGGCAACAGAGTGAGACTCCATCAATCCCCAATTTTAGAGTTGGGTGGAACCTGAGAGGACCCACCTCATATAAGAATCCACTGCTGTGCAATTGGCTTCACTTTTCACAAATTTGCCATGTGGCCTGCCAGGTAGGGTGACCTGCAAGGCAGAGCAGCCCAAAGCAGCTCAATGTGGCTTCCTGGGAGAGGAGCCTGGATCCCAGCCTCCAAGGGCAGATGCAGCCTATAGCAACACAGCTGCATGGAGTAGCCATGAATCATACAGACGCCAAAAAGGGTGGGGCATGTGTGCACCACAAGGAACCATGCCGGGGAGTGAGGACAGCCTCGTTGCTGGGGCTGATCACAGGGACCTGAAGTGAGTCCTGAGATTACCATTCGGTGCCACCATGTCTTCCCTTCCATACCCAGCTCCGAAGTTTTCTGTAGGCACATCTCAGCCCTGGCAGAAAGAGCTGAAAATTGCTTTTTATATCATGCTGAAGAGGAGTAGATATGATAATCAGAAGCAGATGCTTAAATGTGGGGAGGGCCTTATCTGGTGGTTGGGAGGAGGCCTGTTTGGGGGTTGGTCTGTGCCAAGCTCTGCAAGGTATCTGCCTGCATCTCAGTAAAGAATCACCTCTTCTCTGTTTCCTTGAATGTTACATTTTAAATGTCAGTAACAGCAACGCTGTGTTCCAACGCATAGCCTGGCACTACGCCCAAACATCAACGGAGGAGAAAGGCTTGCAAATGCTTGCCTGCCTTTCCCAAGGTGAGCCAAAAGACACCTAGGTCAAGCCCTGCAGGAGACCAGTGATGCTTCAGACATGGCTTCTTCTGAAATGTTTTCCTACTCAGGGGTCTAAAGATGCCTAACTGGGGCTGATTTGAGCCTGGACAATCTTAAATAGAGTTCTGTGAGTCCAGAGGAAGTCCCCTTCCCTCCATTTGCTCTTGGCTTCAGAATTGTGTGTAGGGCTGGGGGTGCCCAGTGGGAGTGAGCTGTCTACACTCAGGTTTAACGCACATTTCATTCATTCCTCAGTATGCACTGAATGTTCTGTTCAATGTTTTGATTGGGGGACTGTAGGTCAGCTGAGGGCTGAGGCTGCAACAGTGAAAACCAGTCCAAGTGCCCAAAACCCCTGTGTCTAGACCCTTCCCAGCCTGTCTTCTCCACTGGGTCTCACCCATGGAGCAGTGAGGAGTCCTATTTTACAGATCCCCAGTGATTTTCCATTTCCAGTTGCAGAAGCCGAGGGTCAGAGTAGAAGCCCGGTGTCATGGCCCTTGATCTAGTTCCTGAGGACCCAGGAACTAGGTGGGGTTGGGGCAGCAGGTCCTGAGATCTTCCAGCTGGATTGCTCAGTGAGTAGCAGTCTAATGAGATCTTTACCTTCTCTGTTTCCTGTCTGTGCTTGCTCTTGTGGTAGCCCCTGCTGAAAATTCTTATCCTTCCTAGCCACCTGAATCTCTTCCATTCTTCAAGGAGAGCCCAGCTTCAGGTCCTCCTCATTCCAGAAGCTTTGGTGATCACTCCTCTCTCTTCCCAACCCTGCCAGCCCTCTTGTACCTCAACTGCTCTGACTCTAATTAGTGACCTTCACAGACTCCCAGCCCATCTGCCTGAATGTGTGCCCAGGCTGTGGGGGCTGTGAGCTCATAGAAGAGGGGCACTTGGCCTGGTTCATCCCCCAGGGCCTGGCACAACTCCCTCCTGCAGGGACAAGCTTAGTGCTGTGCTGTGGGGCTTGTCCTGGTCACCTGAGCCAGGCCTCCCTGGCTAACATGTGCCCTCTTCTCCCCAATCCTACAGCGGAACCTGGCATGGGCACAGATGATCGCCATCCCGCTGGTCACCAGCCTGTATGTCCTGGTCAACCTCAGTTACCTGCTAGTGCTATCGCCCAGTGAGACCCTCTCTGCTGATGCTATGGCTGTGAATGGTGGGGGTGAGGCAGGGGATAACTGCATCACATGGTATATCCCTGGGACACCAAGCAGACTTTCCAGGCTGGGGAAGTAAAGTGCACCATGTGTATTTAAACTTGTCTTTGAATGTATTGCTTGCTTCATTTCTGAGTGGGGCCTTGTGGTGGTCTTCCATGATGCGGCTGGAATTCCTTCCCCAGTTTCTGGGGTCCTGGGCCTAGCCAGTGTCCTTGGCCGTTGCAGTGTGGACATTCGGTTCCATCAATGGAATTGATGGATTTTCTTCAGCAGAAATCGTTTGTGCTGTGTGGCTGCAAGAGAGGGCCACATGGTGAGAGATGGGGCTTAGGGCTGGGCAGGAGGGTGGGGCTGCAGGAGGGGAGCTACAAGACCAGCCAGCTACGTTTTCTCCTGCCTGAAGCTTAGCGTTTGGTCCCAAACCGGACTTTCCCTGTAAGATACAGCCCTCTTTTCTTCTGAGAACGGAACTTAGGCACTCCCTATCTCTCAGTTTTAACTCTAATCCTTTTACTTTTGGGTTTTTGGGAGATCACAGTACTGGGTCACACTGGGTCGGGGGCAGGCAACAAGGATATTTGTGCACATCTGTGGTGCAGAGGCCATGGGGAGGAGAAACACTATTCTTGTGGTTGCGTTCCCTCTGGGTCTCCTCCCGCTGGGGACTCTCTGTCCCAGTATTACCTTTGACTGCAATACTGCTGAATAATAGACAGCCCCAAATCTCAGTGTCTTGTAGTAACCTTTAACTGTCGTTTCCAAGTCAGTAGGCCAGCTGCGGCTTGGCTTCAGGCTGTGGCTTGCTTTGGGTCTCACCTTGGTCTGAGTCTATCCTTATATTAGGTACTAAGGTCGAAGCAGCAGCCACTACTAGGGGCATGACATTGCCTGTAGCAGGTGGCAGAGGTTCAACAGACCAAGCCAAACCACATAAGCATATTTAGAGAATCTACTTGTCACTCCAGCTCACGTTTTATTGGTCCAAGCAAGCAACACGGCCAGACTCCATGTCAATGAGTGGGGGCCTGATAATCCTTCCACAGAGGTGGGGAGAGGAAGGCTGAGTATTTGATGAATAATAATAGTCTTGGCCAGGCATGGTGGCTCACGCCTGTAATCTTAGTACTTTGGGAGGCTAAGGCAGACAGATCACCTGAAGTCAGGAGTTCAAGACCAGCCTGGCCAACAAGGTGAAACCCCATCTCTATTAAAAATATGAAAGTTAGCCAGATGTGGTGGTAATCCCAACACTCAGAGGGCTGAGATAGGAGAATCACTTGAACCCAAGAGATAGAGGCCGCAGTGAGCTGAGATTGTGCCACTGCAGCCCAGCCTGGGTGACAGAGCAAGACACCATCTCAATAAAAATACAGTCTCCACAATAACCCCATATTCCTGGACCTGGTTACCCAGGAGGGAGAGGACAGTGCAGATACAGATGGATCACAGAGACCTACCTCTGGAAGCTGTGGTGACTAGTGACTGTTAGGTTGGTCATTCTGGTGTCCAGTATGTTCAACAGGGGAAGAGATGCTCCCTGTGGCTCCCTAGGGCCTGCTTGACACCCAGCTCTTCTTTCCAGCCTTGAATTCTGTCCATGGCTTGTGTTTATCGTCTCACACCAACTCCAGCCCTGATGTTCACCATGGCCGTGGCTTTGGTCCTGGTCATTGCAGGAAGTTTCAGTACCGCAGTGAACTTCATAAGGCAAGTGAGATGGTCCTCCTATATAGTGTATCTGAAGTCCCCATGTGTACACATTCATACACACGCATGTATACATCAACACATGCATGCACACTCCTGGACCCCTTCTACCATGTTCATATATGTGCATATCACAAACATGTGCACACATACTTCTGGAGACCTCTATGTGTACACACTCACACCTGTGCATGTAGACACAAACACATCCATGCACACTTTTGGAAGCCCCGGCTCAGGTCCCCTGAACATGCATCTACATGTCAGTCATGCTCTCCCAGTCATGTTCCCAAAATTAACATGGCGCTTTCCTCCCTTGCCCTGTTTCTAAAAATTCAGTAAGACATATGTTCGCCGAGAGACAGACACATTAAAGGCTTGTGTTGTCTTTGTCAATGTTCCTTTCTTGTTTCTCTAGTCTGTTGCTAAGATGATGGTAAAGGATACACAGGCATTATTCTCACTACCGGTAGCCCTCGGCTGCACTACGATTTTCCCTTTGTGGTCGAGGTCTGCATTCTAAACTCTGGCCTAATGTGATCTCTATTGAACTCAGGTTAGAGCCACAGGCAACCTGCGTAGGCACAATCATCACATCAAAATGGGGAGATGTTCTGACCCCGTTTATTACTTTTGCAAGGGCAGAAATGAGGGGGCGCTGCCATATCCAGTTTATAACCTCATCTGAAGCAGGGTCAATGGGCGGCAGGCAAGTGTAACATCTGAGTTTTCTCAGAGGGAGTTCTAAGAAGAAGTTTTTAAAATTATTATATACATAGATTTTAAATAAATAGAGAGGAGGGTCTTGCTATGTTGCCCAGGCTGGTCTCAAACTCCTGGGCTCAAGTGATCCTCCCACCTCTGACTCCCACAGTGCTGGATTACAGGTGAGCCCCGGCACTCGGCCTGGAAGTTTTTAAGTGTTGCCTGTTTTCTTTCTTTGTTGTCATAGTCTAATTAATCTGGAACAGCTTGTACTGTGCTTGGTGCGACTCTATTAAGAACAATAAGTAACATACATGGGTTTTTATCTTTTTCCCATAAGAAAGAATAAAATCAGTATATGATAAGAACAAAATCAAATCCACAGTGAGCTTAGGAGGACTTCAGGCTGAGACTGGGGCATGTGGCTGAGAATGTCTCTGCAGAATGAGGATTCCAGAATGATCTGTACCAAGTAGGAACCAACATCTCCCAGCATTGACCTCCTCAAAAGATAACCTGGTCTGGACTCTGCCTTCCTGGTTAGAAGGAGTTTTGATCAGACCGACATCAGCCACCCAGCTACAAGCACTGGCATGGGCACAGCAAAGGGTTCGTCTGGGTGCTCAGTGGCCTGGCTTACCATGCCACCAGCCCAGAGGGAAATGATACGTGGTTATGCGAGCTGTGGATGTATTGTCCCCGAAGAGAGCACAGGCTTCCTTGAGATTCTACTGAGATTTCCTTTTTTCTTTCTTTAAGAGACAGGATCGGTGGGTGTGGTGACTCACACCTGTAATCCCAGCACTTTGGGAGACTGAGGCGGGTGGATCACTTGAGGTCAGGAATTCCTGACCAGCCTGGCCAACATGATGAAACTTCATCTCCACCAAAAATACAAAATTTAGCAGGGGTTGGTGTTATGTGCCTGCAAGCTCCGTTACTCAGGAGGCTGAGGCAGGAGAATCACTTGAACCCAGGAGGTGGAGGCTGCAGTGAGTCTGGGAAACGGAGTGAGACTCTGTCTCAAAACAAAACAAAATAAAACAACAATTACAACAAAAAAGAAAAAAAGAGAGAGGATCTTGCTCTGTCACCTGAGCAGGAGTGCAGTGGTGCAGTCCCAGCTTACTGCAGGTTTGAACTTTTGGGCTCAAGGGATCTTCTCACCCCAGCCTCTTGATTAGTTGCAACTACAGGCGTGCACCATGATGCTTGGCTAATTTTGAAATATTTTGTAGAGATAGGGTCTTGCTCTCTTGCCCAGGCTGGTCACGAACTCTTGAGCTCAAGCAGTCCTTCTACCTCAGCCTCCCAAAATGTTGTGATTACAGGCATGAGCCACTGTGTCCTGCCCATGCTTTCCTTTTTAAAGAAACACAAACACTCCTTTTTCCCTTTGAAAATGTCCTTTATCCAGCCAGGGCAAGTCAGAGAGGCTGATCTGAAGGCATGTGGGTGACTGAATTTGTGTGCACGCCACTGTATGCCTGAAGACAAAGGGAAGAATAGGCTACGGGTTAACCTCAGTGCCTCCTTCTCCTTGGGGCCCTGGCCCTGCCTTTGCTCCTTGATTTGCATGGATCGGGGAGCTGAGGTGGCCGAATGGCCCTGGATGTGCTGACAACTCTGCCCTAGGTTTGCACCTGCTGGCTCGGCCTGTCTTGTGGGCCCACCTACAGCAGGATCTGGTAATGAGCAGCCCATGTTTTCCTAGCCTGTCTCATCAATGGAACTACCATCAACTCTCTTCTGTACTTGCAGATGAAGAAGAAACTACCCTGACCTTGTGAGGCAGACTTTGAGACAGACTTTGGGCTTTTCCAACCCTAGGCTCCTGTGTGAGGCAGGTCTTTGGGCCACAGCCTCATTCAGAGCTAAGAAGTGCTGTCATAATCATTACACTTGGTGAGATATAAGGTGCTGTCATAATCATTATACTTGGCAGAGAATTTCCATATTTTGTGGGCCTGGAGGGACAGTTGAATCACAAGGCATTAACCTTACTTGCCAGGGACTCATTTCTCCTCTTCAGGACTCTTAGGGAAAACAGATGCAGAGACAATCCACGTACACATTTGGGTTCACACAGCACAGAGCAGAATGCTGGTTCCCAAGGCTCTGTTCCCTGGAGAGTCTCCAGTAGCCCAGCAGGTGGCTCCCCTGGTCCAGGCGAAGTTTAATGGCAGGGACTGGAAGAGAGGAGCTGCTGGCAGGTGTAAACAAGAAGTAGGCAGGCAGGAGGGACAGAGCCTGGGAACAATACACCACCTCCTGCTCCCCCTCCATCATCCAGGTCTCAGGGGCCAAATCCCCACTGTGCCCACTGCAGGCTCCCCCCTTCATTCCCGCCATCATGCTTCTGGCTTATCTCTACCTGGTGCTGGTGCCCGTCATCAACCATCCCCAGAGGGGGTCCCTATGTCTCTCCCTCTTCCTGGTCAGCAGCTTCCTGGTGTACTTCCTGTTTGTCCTCTTTCAGTGCCAGCCCAGGTGTTTGCAGCTGGCCACCCTATATCTCCAGGTGCTCCTGGTTATCCTCCTCAGACAGTGCTCCCCTTCTCTAAGAACTGTTCCTTTGACACAGCCAGGCTGGTGTTACTTGATGGCCTCTGTGGTTCATACTTCTTTCATAGCTTTTGTAGCCTATGTGGGTAGCATGGAATAAGTTTCCTTCTTTGGGACTTTGGTATGAGAATTCTATGATCCTGTTCAGGCTCTGATGGTTGCTTGAGCTAAAGCATTGTTAATCTTGAGCTCCACTTGGGACCATCTTTTGTCATGTGAGCAGAGATGCAGAGAAAGCCGTTGTGGTGGGGGAGAAAGAAGAAGATCCATAATGACATGGGCTAAGAAATTCTGTGACCCTAAAGATTTGGAAAGGAAATCTAAGAAAGTGGCGGCTTTGACTTCTGATTGTTTTCCAGTTCTGGTTTCTGTCTTTCTGTGGTCTAACTGCCATCTAATGATCTTTCCTGGTTTTTGATTGTCTTAGACAATGTGATACCTAGAAATAAATTTCCCATCTTAACTCAGGTGAGTTAGAACAGGCTTCAATTTCTTGCGACTGGAAAAATGTTGGCTCTGATAAGTCTTCTTGTTCAGGAAGAAACAATAGTAGCAGTCCTCTGCTTATCCTCCTGCAATACATTCCAGGAACCCCAGCGGATGCCTGAAACCATGGATAGTACCAAAGCCTATACATACTCTGCTTTTTAGACCCGATAACCAAGGCAGATACTAAGTGACTCCCGGATGGGGAGCATATACAAGATGGATATGCTGGACAAAGGGATGGTTCATGTCCTTGGGAGGATGAGGTGGGATGGCGAGAGATTTTGTCATGCTATCAGATTGGTGTGCAATTTAAAACTTACACGTTGTTTATTCCTGGAATGTTCCATTTAGTATATTCAGACCTCTGTTGATCATACGAAACTGAAACCTTGGATAAAAGGAGACTACGGTTCTTTAGTTTCTGTTTGAAGCTGCCAATTGGTTTGAATTGAGAAAGAAGCAAGAGACGTATCCCTGGGAAG